GCGCTCCGTCCCTGCTCCCCTTCCCTGCTTGCCTGCCCGGCCCCGTCCCTTCTCCGTCCTTGCTGCCGTCCCGGCTCCATCCCTGCTCCCATCCCGACTCTCATCCCGGTTCTGTTCCGGGGACCCTCTCCGCCTCCATCCCGACTCCTATCCCGATCCCCATCCCGGCTCTGTTCCAGCCCCTCGTCCTCGCTGCATCCCGGCTCTGTCCTGGCTCCATCCCGGCTCCCACCTCGGCCCCATCCCACCCCCATTCCCATCTCCATCCCGGCTCTATCCTGACCCCCAACCTGGGTCTATCCTGGCCGCATCCTAGCTCTATCCTGGCCGCCATCACAGCTCTATCCCAGCCCCATCCGCGTTCTATCCCAGCCTCCATCCCAGCTCTATCCTGGCTCCATCCCAGCCCCATCCCAGCTCTATCCTGGCTCCATTCCAGCTCCATCCCAGCCCCCATCTCATCTCTCTCCTGGCCCTCTGCCCGGCTCTATCCCAGCTCCCACTCCAAAGGCGACTTCCCCGGCTCCTCCAGCAGCCCCGGCGCCCCCTCCAGCCCCAGTCCTGACCCCGGGCTGGCCCCAGAAGGACTCCAGGGACGTGCCCGGTGCTGATGCTGGATCCCCACAGTCCCCTCTGCTGCCTGGTTCAGCTCTGCTGTCCCAGCAGCAACATCCATACGTGCCGGTGCCACTTTTCGCAGCCCAATCTCTGCCAAGCTGAGACCTGTCCCAGCCCTGTGTCCTTGGGCTGAATTTGTCCCTCTCCTTTCCCTCAGCCAGTCCCTCCTGGGGACAGACCACCTCCACACAGGGCCGTATCGTGTTTGGGCCCCTCCATGTGCGCACTGACCCCAGGCTGCATCTGGGCAGAGGTGACTCCTCTTCTGGCACATGTCAGGACTGTGGTCACCCCTGTCCCCCAGCGATGTCCAGGCAGGCAGCGAACACCCACAGGCTGCGCTGCCCTCCATGCGTGCTCATCTGCTGCCTGGCGAGCAGTGTGTCCTTGGAGCGTGCCGGTGGCAGGGAGCTGGGGGAACGCCTGGCTGGGAGCGTGAGACCCTTGTGCGTGTGGGCAGGGGGATGCAGAACCCACTGCTTGGGTGGCGATGAACCCTCGTGCCCACCCAGCCGGGTGTCCCATGGGGGTCTCATCCCTGGGCTCTCCCCTCTGGTCCCTGGGCATCCCTCTGGCTCATGGGTGGGTGCATGGCCAGTGCTGGGTGGGGGGAACCATCTTCAGCCGCGATGGGGCTGGGAACGGGCAGGGAGCAGGCAGGGAGCGCCGGGTGGCTCCAGGGCGGGAGGGACCGTGTCTGTCTGGTGCTGCCTCTGGGGTCTTCCCAAGGGGAAGAGCAGGGTGGGGGGACAGCCACAACCGCTGTGTGTTGGCAGAGCCCCCTCCACTTCCACATGGACCGACAGAGCTCGCTGGAGACGCTGGTGGATGTGCTGGTGAGTGTCCTGCAGGCCAACGACTGGAAGGAGACCAACCTCATGCTCTGCCACCCCTGGGATGTCTCTGGCTTCCTCGGCCTCTGGGCCCACCGTTCCCAACTCTTCCTCCGCACTGTCCTGGACCTCGGCTATCTGGACGAGCCTGGGGCCATTCGCTACCTCCGGCAGCATGAGGAGCGCTTCAGGGCTCTCTCCAGCCCCGTGCTGGTGCTCGGCTGTGACCTGCGACGTGCTCGGCTCATCTTCCAGGCAGCTGAAGAACTGGGCTTGCTGCCGCAGGAGTTTCACTGGATGCTGGGCTCTCCGCTCAGCGCTGGTGAGTTGCAGACTGAGGGGCTGCCCCTGGGGCTGCTGGCCTACGGGGAGGTCAACCGGCCACCGCTGGAGTTCTTCATCCAAGATGCAGTGGAGCTGGTGTCCCGGGCCATCACCAGTGCTGCCCATGTCCGCCCTGACCTGGCTCTCCTGCAGACGATGGTGAACTGCAACGACAGACGCCAGGCAGGCAGCGAGTCCTCAGGGCTCTTCCTTTCTCGGTAAGGGAGGTGCTGTGGGTGCCCCTTTCCCTCGCCCCAGCTCTATCGTATTGGGGTGCAGGGGTGGGTCTGTGCCCCAGCCCCAGGATGGGGTGACGATAGAGCAGGGAGAACCTGGGGCTCAGAGCCTGGTGTGGTCCCTGGTGTGTGCAGCCTCTGCCGTGGGGCTCAGCTCCCCCCCGGTCCCTGATGCCCTCCCTGGGACATGATTTGTGCCAGCTGCATGGGGGGGGACGTGTCATTTCAGATCTCCCTAATGCTGCCCGAGTGCAGTTCCTCTATAAATATTAATAACACTTGGCCCTGCCAACACAGCGAGCTGCAGGGCAGCGGGGCTGATCCTGCTGCTCCTCCCTGTCCTTGTCTGTGCCTGAGTCGGTCATGTCCTGCTCCAGGCCACAAGCCCCATCCCTCAGTCTCTTGCTCTTCCTGGCTGTGGCCCCGGAGCTGGTGATACCGGAGCTGACACCCTCCTCCCCACCAGGTTCCTGGCCAACACATCCTTCCATGGCCGGACGGGGCCTGTGCGTGTGGAGAACGCGATGCTGGTGCGCCTGGAGCAGCAGTACCGTGTCTGGAGCCTGCAGCGGGACTCACGGGGGGAGCCCACCTGGGTGACGGTGGGCACCTGGCAGCACGGCAAACTGGAGCTGGAGGAGGGCGCGTGGCAGAGCCACCGCCAGCGCAAGAGCCCCAGCGAGGGGGTAGGGGGGGCCCGTGTGAGGCTGCGGGTGGTGACGCTGGTGGAGCACCCCTTCGTCTTCACCAGGGAGGCAGACGAGGACGGGAGCTGCCCAGCCGGGCAGCTCTGCCTGGACCCCGGCACCAATGACTCGGTGGTGTTGGACTCCCTCTTCGAGGAGCTTGGCGCTGACAACGGCTCGGTGCCACGGGCGTACAAGAAGTGCTGCTACGGGTACTGCATCGACCTGCTGGAGAAGCTGGCAGAGGACGTGCCCTTCGACTTTGAGCTCTACATCGTGGGTGATGGGAAATATGGGGCCTGGAAGAATGGGCGCTGGACAGGGCTGGTGGGGGATCTGCTCAGCGGCACAGCCCACATGGCTGTCACCTCCTTCAGCATCAACTCGGCACGGAGCAAAGTCATCGACTTCACCAGTCCCTTCTTCTCCACCA